ACGTCACCGGGTATTTTTTTATGACTTAAAGTGCGGAACTAATAAAGGGAGAAAAAAATGCTTTTTTTTAAGTGCTTTTGCAGTGAATATTTTGATGATTTCCTTTCCCTGAAATGTCTGAGAAGGGAGTTGGAAACGGGTGTCTCCGATTTTGTTCGAATGCACCAGCTCTAATTTACTACTAAAATAAATTAACAAACGGGATAATTTTTCCAGTGGCAGCTTACAGTCTAATTGTTAGGATGTGAAAGAAAGTGCAGAAAGCATTAAGCGAATTCGCCAGTTATTAAAAATTTCTCATAATGACACTTGGAGATAAAAAAATTTATGTAGTAGGCTTACGATTCGTTCGAATTTATAGGCCCTGCATTAAGAATGCCATAGAAAAAACATTATTTTTCTGTAAAGTAAAATTCAAGGAGAAACAATAAACAGTTAGAGCCTAGTGGAAAAAATATTTTATTGTTCATTCTTAATCATTTTTATCAAACTTCTGTTTTATGTTAAGAATACTAAGGCTATTCGGACAATCCATGTTAGTGATGTTATTGGGTCGCTCTCGCACACCAAGCGCAATTAAGCTGGGACCTTCGATCGTGAGTCTATTATATGCAGGATGGGTATTATATAACATGACTAATATTTAGATGTTACGGAAGTGAAGCTGTGGGTAAATGAACGAGTACACTAATATGAGGTCGTTTTAAACCGAATTCTCACTGTTGAAGAGACATTTGCTAGGTGCGTCATTGATGGCATCAAGATTGCCCAGATTATCGCACTTATGTTATTGAGAAGCAGCAACTGTCGGTACAGCTTTTTCTCAGGGTCCACTGCCCAACTTGTTCTATTTAGATATTTTAGATCTTTAGCTCATTCACTGTAACCAGAAATGCTTGCAATTTTACTGAAAGTAGTGCTTTTTAGAGAGGCTTTCTGTCGTTCAGTATTGTGTAATTGTGAATCAGAATAAATCTTCTACTTTCTTTTTACGTGAGTATATGAGGAACAGTTAAACGGCCTTTCATTTTATTTTCGCTTGGCTGTAATGATGAAAAACTTCAATAAATTGTTGTGAGCACAATGAAATTTTGCGGTAAACTGAGCTGCATTTGGTGCTAAATTTTGCTTGATGCACTAAAAAATTAGCTGAGA